AAAAAACCCATTGGATCTAGAGTCCAGACTCTTAAAAACATCGACAAGAAAAAATACTCTTGGTTCAATCAGATTTAAGCTTAAATGGATTACAATTTGCAATGAGGAACCACTATCCACGGCTCTTCCATAAAAACGCATATCTGCATCGGGAAACCAATGGTACATATGTTGTTTCTAAAATGAACTAGAAACAGTGGTTCCTTATTGCAAAATGTAATCCAGATCAAGAACCAAGCTTCTTAATTTGAGCGGGTTTCCTTTTGATTTAAGCTTAAATCTGATTGAATCAAGAGTCCTTTTTCTTGTCAATGTTTTCAAGAGTCTGGACTCTCGATCCAATGTGCATTTTTTTCCGGTGAGACATTGCCAAATTTCCTTTGAGGAATCACTAATTTTCAAGAAAACTTGTGAATATGTTTGTTATAATTTTTCAGGTAATTTTGCTACTAATTGGATCTAAGAGGTCTGAAAATTGCAAGGAAAAATATCGACAAAATTCCTTAAAAATAAACATTTTATCGGAGAAAATTTGGCAACTCTCGAATGTTCATACGCCGTTCTTCCTTAGCACGGCAGTACAATGTTTCGATCGACGTGAATGGATGGAAAAATAAAAACGTATCCGTTTCTTCTAATTTCTCACGTAATTTTGCAACAACTAATTTGATCTAAGAGGTCTGAAAATTGCAAGGAAAAAATATCGACAAAATTCCTTAAAAATAAACATTTTATCGGAGAAAATTTGGCAACTCTCGAATGTTCATACGCCGTTCTTCCTTAGCACGGCAGTACAAGAATTTAATCGACGTGAATAGTTCGGAAAATAAAAACGTATATCCGTCCGTAGCGATGAACATTGGGACGCGTTGATGACGGCGCCTTGATACAACTATTCAACCACGACGGATGTCCGTATGGTATCCAAAAAATTGAAGGCGTTTTGACTTCCTGCGCACCAACTGCAGCTGGCTCGATCGACGGCCACGTTGGTGACAGCGCCTTGATGCAACTATCCCTGCACAACCCTCATACCCTCCTCGATTCGAGCGAGAAGAATCAATCGAGAAATAAAAATGTGAATCGATCGACGTGAACCGATCGACACCGATTCGATCGACAAATTATTAAAAAAAACTGGTGTCGATTCGATCGTTGCGGATCGATCGAAAAATAAAAACGAGATCTGATCGACCTCGATTCGATCGACTCACGGATTTTTCGACTGATTCACAGTTTCGTCGATCGATTCACTGGATTGTCGATCGAATCGCGTTTTCATTTTTCGACCGATTCTTGTCGATTGAATCGATACCGATTACTTGTCAATTTGTCGATCGAATCGATAGAAAAATCACGATGAACGCATCTGAAAGTCAGCAATTCACTCCCAACTTCACGAGCTGCGAAAGACATTTCCAGAGTTGAATGCGTAGAAACACTTCGGGTGCTTGCATATGCAAAACGGACATCAGTCGGGCAGGGATACTTACACTAGGCGCTGTCCCCTTCGCGTCCGTCAATCGAGCGAGCTGCAGTTAGTGCGCAGGAAGTCAAAACGCCTTCAATTTTTTGGATACCACACGAACATCCGTCGAGGTTGAATAGTCGTATCAAGGCGCCGTCGTCAACATGTCCCAATGTCCATCGCTACGGAATGGCACAACTAGTGAGAAAAAGGGCGTTTTACAAATCGATGGCCAAAGTGAGGAACCACTTATCTCCGATTCCACGTTGAGGACTCTCTGTCAAACTTAATTTTTTTTTTCAGAGAAGTACAGACGTAAAACATAAAATTTCCGTGATTTTTTCTCTCGGTTAGCAGAAATTCGGTATTTTCAAACCATAACTTCGGATTGTTCCTTTTGGAAAAAAAAATAGGATAAGAGATTTTGGAACATCGCAATAAAGATACGTGATTCCGTACTTTGGCCATTGGTTTGCGACACGGACATACATCCGTCGGGGGTAAATAGTTGCGTCAAGACGCTGCCACCAACGCGGCCGTCGATCGAGCCAGCTGGAGTTAATGCGTAGGAAGTCAAAACGCCTTCAATTTTTTGGATACTATACGGACATCCGCCGAGGTTGAATAGTTGTATCAAGGCGCCGTCGTCAACGTGTCCCAATGTTTTTACACCATGCTGGCCAAAATGAGAGACCACGCATCTTTGTTTGCGACGTTGCGAACTTCCTGCAAATTTCATTTTTGCTTCGGCAACCCAGTCGAGGAATAACGTAAAACTTTCCTGATTTTTCCTCCGTTAGCAGAAAATTCTGAGCAAATTTCAAGCCATAAATTTGGTTTGTTCTACTTGGTTTGATCCATTCCCTTCCGATACAAATAAGATTTTGGGTTTGAATTCACGACCACGGTGCGACGACTGCCACGCGTCATGATTTATCGAATCGCGGAGCCGAAAACTCGCACGCCGCACAATGGATCAAGTTAACTGGACAGGCCGGACATAAAAATATTTACTAAAACTGCAAATTTTGATATTTAGTCCGTCACGTTTTAAGTTTAAAGGAGTGTTTCTAGAGGGAAATTTCACAAGGAAACCGATGGAATCACTTTTAAAACCTCAAAGTTTTGCATGAACGGAGTTATGAGCTTTTAAAGTTTCCACATTTTGTCCGACCTCTCCCGTTGACTCGATCCGATGTGCGCCGAGGCTTGGAACTTCGAATTTTTGGCCCGCTGACCTGCACGCCACGCCGCGCCCGAGTATGAGGAAAACGCGCTCGTTTCGTCGGCGCGCGGAATGTGGCCCCGGAGGAATTTCTGGATGATGCTAAAGGAATTGACTTCTTTCCATGTTCTATTCTGCCCCGCTAGGATAAACGCCGTATCAGCCTTCAGACGTTGCTACATTTCCTTCAATAAAAACCGAATTTACCGGAGAAATTGTAAACAATTTTTTTTCAAATTTTGCAGACGATTTACTTCGCAATTAGATCTAGATTATCTTAAAATTTCATGGGAAAATACTCATGACTAGCCTGAAAAATTCATATTTTACTAGAGGAAATTTGGCAACTCTCGAATGCTCATACGGCGTTCTTCCTTAGCACGGCAGTATTGACGTCAAGCATCCTCGGCTAAACGGCTACCGTCTTACTTCATTCGCACGGCAAGGGCTTCGTATCCCGCGTCGTCAGGCAAAAAAAAACAAAAGGAAAAAAAAAGGGGGGGGGAGAAAAAACAGAAAAAACAGAAAAAAAGAAAAGGAGAAAAAAAGAAAAAGAAGAAGAAAAAGTAGAAAAAAGGAAAAGAAGAAACGAAGGAAAAAAGAAAACAAAGAAAAGGAAGAAAAAAAGGAAAAGAAGGAAAAAAGGGGAAAAACGACGATATGTCTCTTCAGATAGGCGTTCAAAGCTCGACAAGGGGCGATTCTTTCGAGTTGGCAACTCTAGTTCCCTCCATTTAAACGTATGTAAAACAATCGATTTTAGGTGAGGCAACGTGCCTCGTCTAGAATTGCTTTTTATGATGGCTTTAAATGGAGAAAGAACGGTGTTGCCAGCTTGCCGCTGGAAAGGGGCGAATGGGGTGGGGGTGAAAGTGCGGTTCACCGCAACGCCACGTGAGCGGCTTCACCGATTGCTCACCGCTAAACGTTCGCTCAAACGCCCGCGATACGTGCTGCCGTGCTAAGGAAAACCGCCATATGAGCATTCAAATGTTGCCGCATTTTCTTCCAATAAAAAATCATTTTTGGGGGAAAATTTAAAGTTATTTTCCTTTGAATTTTATACATTAATTTGAGTCTGACAGTCTCAGTCGTGCATGATCGGGTCTATTAGTCCCGAGTTTTTGTCGTTCAAATCGGAAGCCCAAAAAAGAAGAAGAGCGAAGAAGCGTATCGACTCTGCTTGGGCTAAAGACGGATTAAAAAAACTCTCAGCTGAAAATGACAACGCTGGTTGAAACGTGGTAGATTGAGGATAAACTATCATTCACAGATTGCACGCGCATCATGAAAAATGGTCATTCACTGGTTAGCGTGCCGTGGGGGTGGGGGTTGATGGTAAGTCAACCCTTCCCTTTCAGCCAAGCAGAGTGAAGAAAGAGAAGAGACGAAAGAACACGGAGAAAAGAGGGGAAAAAAAGAGAGTAAAAATTCTGACGGTTCACAAAAATGTTAGTTTGTTTTCGTGGCCGTTCGTTTAAGTCTCCGGAAATATATATTTTGATGGCAAATAGAAACAGACTGATATTCCACTTCGCAGTTATTGAGCTTCATATGGGGAGAATAAGTACAGCTGACAGTGAGAGAAGGTTAACACCCCCCTTCCACTCCCTCAAATGAGATTCGACCTATTTGTTGAAAATATTCACGCGATCGCAATTATTGTCTTTCCGATAGTTTTTGGTGCTCCTCTAATTCTCAAAGTACAGGATAATCCATGGTTAAACAGTCAGACTGTAGGATTATACTTCATTGGTAAAAAATAAGGCTTTGTCAGGTTTCTTTTCAGGCACACCCCAAATCGGAGCTAGGCGACAAAATATTTATGAAAAAGCAAAGATTAGCTTTTTGCCCTAAGATTTACAGGCAATTTCGATAAAATCAAGAATATATTTTTGTGAATAATGAAAAGAGAAAAAATGCATAAAATACTAAGGTATAATAAAATTCAGAGTATATCAGAAGAAATTTTACAACGCTTGAGCATTGAAAAGAGGTTTTCCCTCTGAGGAATGCTGCCGCGCTGAGGAAGAACGCCGTATGAGCCTCCAGATGTTGCCAAGTTTCCTCCGATAAAAACCGAATTTACTGGGAAAAGTGTGAATAGTAATTTCCAAAAATTTCAGGAAATTTTTTACACAATTTAATCTAAAATATCTGAAAATATCGAGGTCAAATATGCTTAAATGTTGTCAAAAATACATGTTTTATCAAGGGAAATTTGGCAACTCTCGAATGGTCATACGGCGTTCTTCCTTAGCACGGCAGAATGTCGATGGAATGTCTGCGGTTAAGCTAACGACTTACGTGGGTAGAAGAGGACCTCCAACTTTTCGGTGCATACTTGGATAGTTTGTAGTCGGGGTCAACAAACAGAAACTCGCCATCTGAAACAAATAAAATAATTCATGAAGTTTTGGCCGATTGAATTCGAGATAGTTGCTGTTAAAAAGCTGGAAAAAAGGTAAATTAGAAACTCATAGTTAGACCGTAGGACCAGGTTTTCGTGGTTGCGTTTAGGATACACATTTTCAGGCTAGGAATTTGCGGAAGAGGGGGGCGCTTCGGCGCTTTGCTAGAAAGCACTGTTTCCATTGGCTCTCGGGAGGAATATTGTCACTAACTGCTGTCTTGCCTAAAACTACGTCACTTTTTGCACACTTACGGCTTTCTCATATATCTCGTTTTGATACAATTAAGATGAATTTTGCTGTTTTGGCTATTTCAGTGATTTCATCTAAAAGAGTTCAGACGAATTTTAAAGGAAATTCGATTTCGAAAATTTGACACTTACTCAAGGTGTTCGCTAAAACAGGCTGGCCAAAAATCAGTACTTTTCCAGTCCATTCCCAAGAAATTCTGTACTTTTTCAGTACCTCCAATTGAGGAAATTCGAAAATTTTTAAAAATAGGAATTTCTCGCTCGAATTGCGACAAAAATGACAAAAATTCGGGACCTTCTCACGAAATTCCGCACTTTTTCAGTATTTCCGGACCGCCCTTAAAAAATCAATACTACATCCGGACTTTTTGGAAATTCCGGACTAGTAGACACCCTGTTATTGCTCTCTTCGCTATCACGGCAGATTCGATGGGGCGGCAGACACGACTTCACTCTTCGAGTTCCGCATTCCTGCTCGACTCGACGGAACGGCACCGCTGTATGACAGTAATGTAGGAACTGAAAATGACGGGGGACGGGAGTGGGCGGGGCACGGAATGCTAGAATGCGGGAAGCAGCGTTGCCGATTCTGGCGGAATTTCCCGGGCTCCGCCGCGGTAGCGGGAGTCCATGCAAAATAGGCGAGTTTTCACGCGAAAACTACACGACTCCGAGGAGGGTATTGCCGGTTGTCGCGTTGCGGTCCGGTCCGGCGCGGCTCTCGCGAACCGGTTCGGTTGATGTTTATCAGCCGCGCGACAACGGTGCAAAGTCGGAGTCGGAGTAGTCGAGTCTTACATTTCGGCTGTGGGCTGATTATTGAAATTGATAGACGAAGCAATAGACAAAGAGGACAAAAAGGATTTGGAGGGATCCTATTGGTACACCGGAAAAAAAACTCATTGGACCTAGGGTCTAGACTCTTAAAAACATCGACAAGAAAAATTACTCCTGATTCAATCAGATTTAAGCGTAAATCAAGAACCAAGCCTCTTAATTTAAGCGGATTTCCTTTTGATTTAAGCTTAAATCTGATTGAGTCAAGAGTCCCTTTTCTTGTCAATGTTTTCAAGAGTATGGACTCTAGATCCAATGTGTTTTATCTTTCCAAAGTAGAAGCGGGTGGTTGCAATGGACAAAGGAGGTAGGTAATAGACTAATTAACGGCAACCCACGACGAGAGACCCGACAGTTAGTCTATCATTTTCCCCCTTTGTCTATGAGAACTACCCATTTCAACTAATAGGATTGCTTTATACCCCCTATGTCTTCTTTGTCTATAGCTTTGTCTATCAATTTCAATAATCGGCCCGCTGTGGCACTTTGAAAAGTTCGCGGGGACCTTGCACGGGCGATCTGCGGGTTTGCCGCTTTGCGTCGCGCGAGTTCACAAGTCGAAGCTCAGATTCGCCTGATGATGACTGATGATCAAAGGGTTGATCGATCGGTCCAGGAATCCAAACTTAGATTCGGAAAAACTCGCCGGGTTAAGTAACCTGACCACCCCCATATCGAATGCGGATCCAAGGGAGTTGCATGGTGGCAACCCCCCCCCCCCCCCCCCC